GTACTACAGTACTGTCCTCGAATGTGCAAGGCCTTGGGTTCGATCCCCAGCACCCCTCTCCCTTGCCCCAACACAAAAGAATCATGGCTATTCATATTCCAGCTTTACCGTCTTACATTACACTTAATTGCTTTAACCTTGGCCCAGGGAAAAATATAATAATTTAAATAGGTTTATAAAGGTAGAAACACACCATTCAAATATTTGGTTTTTAGTCTCCTATGCAGGATTTGTGTGGACCAAATGTTAGGAACCAAACAGAAAAAATAAAAGCTTAAGGATCCTTTAATATGTTCTCTTCACTGTCTTCCTGGAATGAATAGAAGAATTTATGGGGGGGCGGGGGTGGGGGGATGAAGCGGGGGGGATGAAGGAGGGATGGGGGTGGGGGTTGGGCCAAGAGGGATTGAACTCAGGAGTGTTTTACCACTGAGCTACATCACCATCCTCAGTCATTTTTACTTTTTACTTTGAGACAGGGTCTTGCTAAGTTGCTGAGGATGGCCTTGAACTTGCAAACCTCTTGCCTCAGCCAATTGAGTCACTGGGATTATAGGCATGTAACTGAGATTTCAGCCATGGTGCCACAGCACCTGGCTGAAGTACTTAACTTTTGACTAACCACATCCTGGTCTCCAAATTATGGATTCAAGGGTTAATTTTGACAATAAATGAACATTAATTATAACGAGCTAATGAGTGAACTTTTTCATAAAAGGATGCCAAGAATAATTACATCTACTTAAAACCCAAATCAACACATACAGGAAATCAGGAATGCTAAACCATATTTAGTATATGTTTTCGTGGCATTTCTTTTTCCTAATAATAATTATAGGTTATATTAATCCATTTCATTCACTCATAGGAATTCACTGCATTCAATAAAGCCACATGATGAATAACCTATCTCCTCACCAAAGGTAGAGAACATGTGATGAATAGCCTTAAATCAAATCTCATTATTTATAAGTTATTTGAGTTTTAAGTTTCTTTTCTTTCTTTTATTAAATAAGTCACTGTACTAACCACTGGGAAATAAAAATACCCTCACTTTGAAAGAAATTAAAGACTGGGAAGTATACAAATTCATACATGACTATTAAAGAAAATATGGCATAGGCTGTGGTTGTGGCCCAGAGGTAGAGCACTTGCCTAGCACATGTGAGGCATTAGGTTCGATCTTCAGCACTACATAATAAAATAAAGTTATTATGTCCATCTAAAACTAAAAATACTTTTAAAAAGGAAAATATAACATGAGGTTCAAAGTAAATTCTATACAAGAGTGAAGTTAATTTCATCTGGGAGGATCTGAGGTAGGCCTCACAGTCTTTATAGATTTTTAAGAGTAAGATTCAAAGGTTAGCAACTGGGTGATGGGCACAAGATTTAGAGAATGAGGAATAATCCATGGTTCAAGTACAAGATTGTCTATAAGACTAGAAAGGTAGATTGAGCTCAGACTGTGGAAGACGTGAATATTAGATACAAATTAATTTTGAGGCATCAATGATTTCAAGGCAATAAGATATTTTAAACTATGTTTAGAGAAATAAATAGCAACAGTGAGAAGGATGGATAAGAAGAAATGAGATGTCAATTTAGGAGACTGAAAAACTATTTAGGCAAGGGGCTAGGAATTTGGTAGAGTGCTTGCCTAGCATGTATGAGGCACTGGGTTGGAGTCTCAGCATCACATAAAAATAAATAAAGATATGTGTCCATCTAAAATATTTTAAAAAATATATTTAGGCAAGATGTTATAAATCTAACCATGGATCTAGATGTGGGATCAGTAGAATGTCCTGTACATGAGGTGTTGCTTAGAGGGTTAGATTTACAGGATTTAGGAAGTAACTGACCAGGCGCTAGAGAGCACAAGGAATAACCGGATTTATAATTTTATAAATCAAGAGACTGGGTGAATGGTGATGCTTTAAGGGAGACCAGGGGTAGAGCAGGTTTTTGCTAGAAAGACAATGAATTCTTTTTTAGCCTTCTTGAATCTGAGGGCTTAAGGGATATTCACAAAGAGATGTCTGATCTGACAGATAATCTGGCAGGACTGAAGCCTGGGTTAAGAGTTCAGGATCAGAATCTAGATTTGAGATTCACCTCTTGAAGTTGTGGAAACAAATGAGACTACACAAGGAATAGAAAAAGAAAGGAGGGCCAAGAAGAAACCAGCAAGAGAAGGGAAGAGAAGTGGATAAGAACAGAAGTCATCTCAGATAAAAGGAAGCAAAAGAGGTGAAAAGTGGAAATCGAAGTTGGGTGCAGTGGTGCCTGCCTATAATCCCAGTGACTCAGGAGGCTGAAGCAGGAGTATTGAAAGTTTGAAGCCAGCCTCAGCAACTTAGTAGGGCCCTAAGTAACTTAGTGAGACCTTGCCTCAAAAAGAAAATAAAAAGGGCTGGAGATGTGGGTCAGTGGGTCTGGATTCAACCCCTAGTACCAAAACAAAACAAAAAACAGAATGGAAATTGAGCCAGTTAACTTCATCTCCTATAAATAAATATGACAAAAAGATTAAGGAGGATATTAAAACATATTATTTCCATGTCCTATGTACTTCCTGACCCTGCTCAACATGTTGAGATTCAGTTTCATTCTCTAAAATTCAATTATGGAATCAAAGATTCACACAATTTGTATCCAATATTCATTTGACATACTGAAGTACTAATTTTTGAGCTCCGAAATATATGTTCTTACTTGTATAATCTTGTTCCTAAAATGATTTCTAGTATTCCTACCATATTTCCTCAGGATTTCCTTCCAAAGATTCAAATATGTAGCTTCCTGATTAAAGCCATATATATGTTAAAGCTGAAATTATATTAATAATAACCATAATCTAGTTTCAAACTGATTAATTATTCCTTTTTTTTTTTTTTACAGTACTGGACTTCACATATGCTAGGCAAGCCCTCTACCAGTGATGAGTAATTCCTCAACCTAAAGTAGACAAAACTTCCAAATAGTTTGGCTACTATACTGGACAAAATGTTTTAAAGTAGTCTAGACTATCTCCAATATGGATAATGATGCTTGTTCAAAAAGAGCTATAAAACCAAGGATACCAAAGCTTTCTACTCTCTAAGCAGTCCATTAAGAGACAAAGGACTGTTTAATCAGGAAATTTAAAAAAAATTAAAAAAGGAGTAGAAGGAAAAGGATGAGGAAGAGGAGGAGGGGTGGGGGGAGAAGGAAGAGAAAAAAGAAAAGAAGAAATAATGCATACAAATACCTCAAACTAAAAAAGCCAGTTAAATATCAGAACTGTTCCATCTTCCTATAAGTTTAGCTATCAGGTTACCCAGTGCCATCAGTGATCTAGTAGAATCTTTCCTTATATGGAGTGGGAGGGGGCTTCTCCATTCTGAATAGACATAAAGAAATAAGCTTGTCCTAACCCATCTCTTACAAGACATTTATGAGAAGTCTCTCATCAGATCCTTACACATAATCAGCATTTTTGTTTGCAGCAGTCCCAGTCATTTCCTACCTTGGGCCAGTTTTGACATGCACAGACGCTTTTGCACTGAATCTACATTGTGTGTAATGGCATGACATCAGCTGTCCTACCCCTAGCAGGGTCTGTGAGGAGGAGACTTACAATGGTGCTTTGAGTCACAACAAAGACCCTTCCTCTCTAAGATTTCTGACATTTTTTCCTTCTATTTTAAATTCTCCTTCCCATTTAAATTAAAAAAAAAAAATTATTAAGACCATAAAGGGGAAAAGAGGGAGTTGGCAGCCTAGGGGACTAAAAACTGAAAGGGAAGAGAGTTTAAGAAAAGTCATAAAACTACTTTGTGGTTACATCTCTTGCCAAATTGTTTCAATGTTAAAGCAGAGCTAACGCTCATGCACAGAAAAGTGTACAAACTGGTAGGTTTGGACTTCAAACATGATCCCCAAACAATTAAGAACCTTCCAGGGCAGGAAGGCAACAGGGACAGCAAGTGACAGAAAGAAATTGACAATGTTACATCAAACTAAATAAGGACTACAAAATGAGTTTTCTAACTTTATTATATCTCTGAAAGAATGATTCATACTATTACTTCACAAACATAGGGATTTGGACCAAATATTTTGCTTAAAAAACAAACAAACCAGTTTTCCCATCTAAATGGAATCTAGAGTAAATGATGGTTTTGCTCCCCGTCAGCTCTGTTTATCCCATTATAATGATTGTTGTAACAAACCATCCCTGTGCACAAAGCCAGACATGTAGGAAAGTATGAGAAAACTGGAAAAATTTACCAGCTCTGCAGCCCCTGGATTGTGTTATTAGTTACCAGCATATGCAACTCATTTTCTAGTTAAGTAATTCCCTCTGGGGACTCAGTCTGCAATCCACATGAAGGATCAAATTTCATTAGCAGTTGTAGGAAAATGCAACCCTGTGCATTTGCAAGTCAAAACCCCTGAAAGCTACAGCTAGTCTGGCTATCTTCATTGATTTTTCCTGGGAGAGGATTTTAGCTGATAGAAAACACTTGTTGGAAGGCACAGATGAGGAAGTTGAGAAGAAGAGAAGGGATTCAGCTAGCAAAGAGACAACTAAGCCTCAGTCTTAATTTTAAACTCTGGTCTTAACACTCTGTCTGCAGCTGTGTCCAAGCAGAGAGCTATTCAGCAATAATTCCACCCCCAAGGCTACAAATGACAAAAGGCACACAGGAAGACAAATTAAAAGGGCAAGTGTACAAAAATACATAATTCAATCAGTATCCAACTCTCTTCATTTCTAGATATCAATTTAAACCCCAGTGTGAGCTTGATTTAATATGAAATGGGGTCAGAGACTCACAAATCTTAACATCAATGTAAATAACTCATTTGAGACTTTTTATGAACTCATTTAACTTCAATTAAGAAACATATTGATCACATATTCAACTCTACTCCAACTGTTCAGATTAGTAAAACAACTTTGTTACTACCAGAATTGGCTTTCTCAAGTTTTAAATCCGCCCAGTTCTTACCTTGGTTTGAGTTGGTTCACCTTTCTCAAACATCATCTTAAGCCTGTTCAGTGGAACATTGTATTTCTCTATTTTGCCTGAAGTTTCTAAGTTTTCACTGACTTCAGATCTTTCTATTTCATGCCTGGACTCTCCCAGACAATTTTCCATTTTTTTGCTTTCTGTTGTGCGGTCTTTAAGATCCTCACTGTCTTCAGTGCCGGGATATCGGCGCTGAGTAAGGGTTTCAGGATGTGATCCAAATCTGCGTCTGGACTGGGATTGTTCCTCGTGGTCAACTCCAGAAGCAGAGCTGCTTGTCACTTCAACAGGAGGGTGGGTGACTCTGTGTCTAACCTCAGTGCTGCTGTTTCGCAGAGGGTCTGTGTGCGACTCTGCTCCCGGTACTGGATTCTCCCACTTCTTCTTTAACACAGTCAGTGTCCCCCTTCTAAAGTGCTGGGGGAGATTTTCGGTGTTCTAGAAGAGCAAGAAGTGCCAGTTATAACTTGCCTGCTGAAACGTCAAACTCTGTTCTTTGTAAAATGAAAGTTAAAACTCTAAGCTGCTCCTAGTCCACAGCCCTTTCAGACAGCTGTGAACAGTTACAGCCCTGCCACATGGAGCAAGCATCCACCCCAGGGCAGGGAGAAGGAAAGAGAAAAAGTCGGTTGCTGAAGCAGGAAGTGATAAAACAGGATAGCCTTATAAGGACAAAATGAGAAGAAAAGACAGCCTGGATCTAATGATAGTTCCATAGGAGATGAGAGGTTTTTAATCAAAAGATTCATGGGGAAAGCAAGAAAGAAAAAGCAAAATACCAGGTACTTAAATATTATAACTAAGCATTAATAAAAGTTCAAGAAATTATGTCACTACATGATGTGATTGATGTAATAAATTCTGCTTTTTTTTTTTAAATAGGAAAGACATAGTATAGCTAAAACTATACTTGGATGATAGCATCAAGAACTGAAACTATTTATAGAAACCTAAAGAAGTCACCAGACTTTTATAAGTATTTGCATAAATGATATTTATTTAGTTATACCTGACATAATTTACATGCATAGAAATGATCTGTGTGTGTATGTGTGTGTGTGTGTGTGTGTGTGTGTGTGTGTGTGTGTGGTCCCAGGGAGAGAACCCAGGGCCTTACACATACTAGGAAAACACTCTGTCACTGAGTTATGCCAGCCCTCAAATTTTATTTTTACATATGAATCTAATCCACTTTCCCTGCTCTCTACATGTTTATCTATTTTTAAATTCTTAGTTATCAGAAAATTCACTTACAGATTCTTGGGATAATGAAACATGTAGACTTCATAAGAAAACATAACCACCACCCAGTCTCATGATCAAAGAACACACATTTATAGATCGAAGAGTATTTAATTTTACCTAGGCCAAAAATGGAATTTATACATATAAGGCAGACTGAAAACAACCTGGAAATAGTCTGCTGTTATAGGATAATAAAGGAAATGTGCTTGTTAGAGTAAAATTAAATGTCCCATACTTTGAAAGTTCTCCTAAATAAACTAAACACCACCTTCCCAACAAATTGTGACCTCCAGTACCTTCTTACTCTCCATTCCTGTAGTCTGTGACTCCCCAGGCTTTCAATGAAGAAAGAAAGGACAAACAACCTAGGACTGAAAGACTTCAGGGAATTAAATGGGATTAGCAGCTATATTGGGAATTAAGTCTCTCACCCTATTACTCTTCTGAATATACTAAGAGCTATTCTATCAAGTAGCATCAGGCTTGAATAAATAAAGTTATAGAACAACTGCTTGATTCTAGTGTTTAAATTGTAGCTTATGGAACGATTTGCTGGAAGATGTATAGATGGATCAGAGACAGAAGAAGCTTGAAAGATTTTTGTGGAGAATTTTAAAATGGCTCCTTCTGGGTGTGGAATATTAATGTAAGCCTGTAATCCCACCATTCAGGAGGCTGAGGCAGGAGGATGGTTTGAGCCCAGGAGTTAGATACCAACCTGGACAACATAGTGAGACCCCATCTAATAAATGAATAATGGGGCGGGGGGGGGGGTGACCCAGCTCCAGAAACAGGTGCTTCACTGTCAGAAGCATTTTTTGATTCTATGACCTCCTGCTACAGATGAGTCACCTATGCCTCCACCTTCACCTTCCCTACCATGCTCATATAGGTAGGGAAGCAGAGCAGCAGCTGGAAGTAGTAGTGTAAACCTGTAGTCCCAGTAGTTTGGGAGGCTGAGACAGGAGTAACTCAAACTCAAAGCCAAGTTCAGGAACTTAGTGAGGCCCTAAGCAACTTAGCGACATCCTATCTCAAAATATAACATAAAAGGGCTGAGAATATGGCTCAGTGGTTTAACATCCCTGGTTAAAATAAAAAAAGAAAAAAGCAGCATTTTGCATGATAAGTACATACTACCTTCTTGGATAAATATCATGGGATCAAAATATATTTATTGATACTCATAAGATATTTTGGGGGGTACTGGGGATTGAACCCAGGGGTGCTTTACCACTGAGCTACATCCCCAGTCTTTTTCTATTTTTTATTTTGAGACAGGTTCTCACTAAGTTGTCAAGGCTGGCCTTAAACTTGCAGTCCTCTTGAGCTGGGGTTGTGGCTCAGTGGTAGAGCACTTGCCTCACATGTGTGAGACACTGGGTTAGATTCTCAGCACAGCATATAAATAAATAAATAAAATAAAGGTCCATCAACAACTATATATATTAAAAAAAAAAACAAAAAACACTTGTGCTACAGTTGTGGCTCAGGGGTAGAGTGCTCACCTAGCATGCACAAGGCACTGGGTTCGATCCTCAGCACCACATAAATGTAAAATAAAGATATTGTGTCCACCCTAAAACTTAAAAATAAATATTTAAAAAAAAAAAAAAAAACTTGCAACCCTCCTGCTTCAGCCTCCCCAGTCACCAGGATTTAGGCAAGAGCCATTGTGCCTGAGTCATAAGATACTTTTTAAAAATTTATTCCAATTAGTTATACATGACAGTAGAATATATGTATGCACTTTGATATATCACACATAAATGAAGTATAATTCTCATTTTTCTCATTGTATATGTTGTAGAATCACATTGGTCATGTAGTCATATATGTACATAAGCTAATAATGTCTGTTTCATTCTACTATTATTCTTACCCCCATACTTCTACCCCTCCCTTTACGTCCCCTCTATCTAATCTAAGGTAACTCTATTCTTCCCTAGGCCCCCATAAGATATTTTTTTTATAATACGTACATATATTTATAAATATGAGCATAGAAAAAGTAGTCTGGAAGAAACGGCATCAGGGTATTAACAGTTTATCTTTGGATAATGGATTATGGCACTTGTATTTTCATTTTATAATAAACACATATTCATGATATAATAAACAGTGAATGCCAACTTATCCAGACCCTATCTCAAAATAAAAAATAAAAAGGGCTGGGGATGTGGCTCGGTGGCTAAGTACCCATGGGTTTAATCCCTGGTATTATAATAATAATAAATAATAATAATAATAATAATAACAGTGACTGTAAAAACAAAATTATACATCATCTCCATATCACCAAAAATAGCTTTCACAGAATATTAAAAATTTTGATGTTACTTTAAGCAACACAAAAATTATCATTTCTATTTTACTTCTATTAAGCAGGAAGAGAGGGATTTGGGTGGAGGAGTATCAGCAGTGTCCCAAACAAGGACTGGGTGGAGGACATCCCCTTAGGGAGCATTTCAGAAGGAATAAATATGCTCTTTTATTAAAAAGAGCTCCTATGGATACAAGCTCAAGAGTGTTGAGGCGGGGGTGAGGGTATGTGGCATGGACACAAAGGGGAAGGGCCGGGTAGTGTGGTCTGACAGCATTAAAACCCCACACCCTTAAATTCTCCTGGAACTGCTGCCTAGGTCATGGCAGTTGTCCAAGTTCTCAGGACCCGAGGCAAGCAAAGATAGAGAAGAAAAAAAGTTATATAACAAAAGCAATAGCTAAAAGCAACACAAAAGAATATAGTGGGGCTGGGATTGTGGCTCAGTGGTAGAGTGCTTGCCTCACATGTGTGAGGCACTGGGTTCAATTCTCAGCACCACATATGGATGAATGAGTAAAATAAAGGTCCATCAATACTAAAAAATATTTTTTAAAAAAGAATATTAGAGAGGCCTGAGTTATCATTGACTAATAGACTACAGATTATTTATATTTTCTTTGTATTACCTACAGGGAACATGTATTACTTGTGTAATGTACCTCCATCCAGTCAAGTGACCTTGGACAAGTTTCTTAGTTTCTGGAAAATTACAATACAGGGCTACTATGGAGAATACAGGAGTCTATTAACATAGGTCATATAGTATTTGATACAAGTGGGTATTCAGTAAGTGGTGACAATTATTATTTAATGAATGGCCCTACCTACTCCTCTAGCCTCCCCTCAAATGGTGATCAACCATGATCAACTATATTGCCCAGTCATCTTCCAAGTCTTGAACTTGGGTTATAGCCTCTTATTGATCTTTCTATTTGCTCCACAGGGTGGGGGCAAGGGGTATAAAATTAGGTGAAATTCTGGGCTAGGTGTAACTCAGTAGTAGAATGCTTGTTTAGCATGTACAAGGCCTTGGGTTTTATCACCAACACCATGCAAAAACAACGAGAAGGTGAAATTCTAACTGATGTCATTTGTATCATTTTCCTAAGTATTTTCCTAGAACAGGATGCTGGGAAGTCAAGAAAGCTAAAAGTTTTCAAATACCACATTGGTCCCAACACTAGCACAGCCTCTTTTCTCCAGCACCCTATTCATTCTACCCAGCAAGCCTGAGAATCTTGATGCTGCCTCCGGATCTAATTGGCGGTCTGAACCCATATCACACCCAGCAGATGTGATACAATGCCCTTCCTGCAGGAACATCTGGCTTGTAATTGGGATGAACAAAGCTCTGTCACTCTGAGATATATGACCTTGGATAAGCCCCTTCCCTTCTTTGGGTTTCAATTATTCCCCTATAAAATGAAGAAGCTGGGTTAAAGGAGCGACAACATTGAAATCTTGGCAAGGATACCTTCATTTTAAAAGCAGGAGAATATTTGGTAGATATAGCAGTTGGGTGGGAAACATGGACTACCTGGACATACAACCTCCAAGGAAGGGAATAAACATCTCTGCTGAGAGCTTCTCAGAAAAGTAGTAGATAGTATTATAGAGTTCAGTGTTCATGTGACACATATTTTCAAAATGTGGCACATTCCATGCTTGAAATGGACCTGAAAGTATAACTGATTGTGGTATTACTGGTATATGTTCCAATGTCTTGGGTTTAAATAGAGAGGGGAGGAAAAAGGAGTACATTTATGGGAATCCAGGATATCACATAACCCAATTCCACCATTTGCTAATGGAGAAAATTTATCCATTTGCTCTTGAATGTTTCTTTGACTTATGTTTCATGGTAAAATGTAGGTACTCTTTTTTTTAAAAAATATACTTTTTTTAGTAGATAAATGCAATACCTTTATTTATTAATAATTTAAATATACATACTTATAACTATAATATATTTGTATTTATAAACTATTTGACACCATGACACTTAAACCATAAAGCTGAAGCTTTATGTACCTGTTGCATGTACCTGTTGAGAATAAGGACATTCTCCAAAATAAGCATTTTTACTATTTTTTTTTCCTCTTGGTACTGAATATTGAACCAAGGGGCACTTTGCCACTGAGCTATATCCCCAGGACCCCCTTTTTAAAAAAAGTTACTTACTCTTATTTGTTATACATGATGACAGAATGCAATTCATTTCATATTACACATACAGTGCACACCTTTATTTATTTAATGTGGTGCCGAAAATCGAAACCTCACATGTGTGAGGCAAGCATTCCACCACTGAGCCACAACCCCAGCCCCAAATGTAGGTACTCTTTAACCTGGCCAATCACTTCATAAATTTATGTGAACATTTCCCTTTGCTCTTCAGAAGGAAAAAAAATCCTCTGTCATGAGTAAAAAACTGATAAAAGTTGAATAACGTCTGTAGTTTAGATAATAGCATTTTACCAATATTATCATTATTATTATTTGGTTTTGAAAAAGGTACTATAGGTATGTAAGATGTTAACATTAGGGGAAGCAAGATAAAGGAATATAAAAGCTCTACCTCAATTATCCTAAATCTAAATTACAAAATAAAAAGCTACCAAAAAAAAAAAAAGTAAACCTGACTTGTGCTGTCCCTTGTATTTCACACTAAAAGGTTTTGAAAGCATAGGCTGTAGTTGTTATTTCTATTTCCATTTCCTCTTTAGTTCTGCTACCAAAATACCTCTGTAATTTTTTTTTTTTTTTTTTTTTTTTTTTTTTTTTGGTGATACTGGGGATTGACCCTAGGAGTGCTTTCCTACTGAGCTACATCCTCGGCCTGCCTATGGGGATTGAACCCATGCCTAGTTCAAGTGCTCTACCACTGAGCTACATCTCCAGCCCTTTTAAAATTTTATTTTGAGATAAGATCTTGCTAAGTTGTCCAGGCTGGCCTCAAACTGGTGATCCTCCTGCCTCAATGCCCCCAAGGAGCTGAAATTGCAGGCATGCAACACCATGCCCAACTAGATACATCCAGTTTATCTTCAGGCAGGATCTCTTCCAATGCCAGATTTGTATATTCAAGTTCCTACTTGGCATTTCCACTTGGATGCCTTAATAAAGTATTTCACATTTAACATGTCCAAAACTGTGCTTCAACTAATTCTCTCCTCCAAACCTGCTTTTATTGCAGTCTCCATTTCAATTAATGCCATTTAAATTTGAATTTAATGGTGTTTGGGCCAAAAACCATTGTTGCCATTTTTTATTTTTCTCTTTCTACCTTCAGTATAAATCCTGACTACTTCTCATCACCTACTCCACTATTAATCCAGTCCAACCAATTATCATTTCTTTCCTTAATCATCACATATTGCTCCTCTACAGTTTTTATCTCTTTGTAGACTTTAAGTCAGACCACATTGGTTTCGTGCACACAAACCCTCTAAAGGCCTCCTTTCCTTCAGAGTTAAGGTCTAGTTCTTCCCAATGACCCCATGTAAACTTTTCTCTTCCCAGTCCTCAAATAGACAACGGCTGCTTTTGCCTCTGGGCATTTGCACATGCTGTTCCTTTAGTTTAAATCTTTCTTCTCCCTGGCTCATGTTCTCAGATCTTCACCCAAATGCCACCTCATCAGAGGCCTACACCTAAACTCTATTCATCACTACTGCTATATAGCACTGTCACTGTTGTGTCACTACCTGACGCAACTCCTCTGTCATCTGTGTCTCCCAGTAGAATGTAAACTCCATGAGGGAGAAGATGAAGCCCATATTCTTAGCACCTAAAACAGTGCTTGAAATATAGCAGGTGCGTTATGAAAACTTGCTAAATGAATAAGTAAAAGAAGGAGGGAGGAAGGGGAATAAGGCAGGAGAATGACAGAAGAAACAAGCAACTGAAGTTGAAATAATGGTAGCTTTTTTCTTATAATGTACCAAAGAAGATTCCTTTTCAAATTACAGGGAAATTAAGCCAAAGACCTGGTCAGTATAACCTCCTTAGAGAGAACAAATTGGGGCATGTTGTACACTAATTTTAATAGACAAGGTACTAAAAACTGCCATGAGGATGCTTTTTTGTTTTGTTTTGAATATTTTTAGTTGTAGGTGAACACAATACCTTTATTTTATTTTATTTTTAAATTTTCTTTTAGTTGTAGATAGACACAATAACTTTATTTGATTTATTTATTTTTATGTGGTGCTGAGGATCGAACCCAGTGCCTCATGTGTGTGAGGCAAATTCTCTACCACTGAGCCACAGCCCCATCCCTATTTTATTTTTTTAATGTGTTGCTGGGGATCAAACCCAGTGCCCCACATGCTAGGCAAGTGTTCTACTACTGAGCTACAACCCCAACCCCATGAAGATGTTTTTGTAATGCCAGCCAAATTAAAGAATTCTTGCCTAAATATGTGAGGTTTATTCCTCAGGAGATTAAATCAGTAGCCAGCTACTTGGGAGGCTGAGGCAGGAGGATCACTAGAGCTCATGAACTTGAAATCAACCTGGGCAACATACCAAGATCCCATCTCAAAAAACACAAGGCAAAATTAAAAAAAAAATAAAGAGATTAAGTAAGATTTCAAAGAAATATATTATCCAACCCAGCTGGAAGTTTGCAAGCAGGAAGAGCAGACAATGGATACTATCTGGGAGCTTATTCTGGAAATGTTTGTCTTTGATGGATCCAGCAGCTAGGAAACTTTCTTACTAGATTGGGTCAAGAAGTTCACTTTAAACAAAGAATCAGAGGAAAATAACAGTTGTGTAGCTTCTACCATTTAAATGCATAGATACAGAAATTCTGGTTGTTTGATTTGGAAAAAAGTATGGCAGCCTAGGAAACCCTATGTTCTCAATTTTGCTGAAGTGAGAACCTCAGGCAAAGTACTTGGCCTTATATCCTTCATTCAGCATAGGAAAGAAAAGTGGTCCAGAAAGAAAACAGAAGAAACAAGCAACTGAAGTTGAAATAATGGTAGCTTTTTTCTTATAAAGGAGAACCTCAGTGAAAAAAATAAGATTTCCTGCACCTGAGCCAAGTTCTCCTGGGCAAATGGCTCATGAATCAGACCAGTTGGCACAAATGTCCAGCTCAGCTGACACGGCACACAAGCCCCACAGAGCTGCAGGTGGCTTGGCCACATGGGCTTTACACGTGAAGTTCCACGTACCCCAGGGCTTCAGAATACTTACACTTTTCTTCTTTTCCATGTTGGCCTCTTCAGCTGCTTTCTGGTACCTTCAGAGAAGGGAGAAAAAAGAAAACGTCCTCAATTTATATTTTTACTGTTTCAACCTTTAGGAAAAATACTTCTACTTCTCTATTGAAAGGAGCCCTCACTTCCTGGGGCTGGTACATTCAGCTGCTCTCATACAACAGAAAAATTCATGTGGGTGAGATCAAATGCTGGAAAACTGGATAGAATACAATGTCTGAGGTTTAAGTTGCTGTTTTGTCACTTTTTTTTTTTTTTTAAGTATTGTGGATTGTACCAAGGGGTGCTTTACCACCGAACTGCATCCCCAGCTCTTTTTATTTTGTGAGACAGGGCCTCACTAAGTTTCTGAGGCTGGCTTTGAACTTGCCATCCTCCTGCTTCAGCCTCCCAAGTCATAGGAATGCACCACAGTTCTGGGCGAGGATGTCTCTTTTGGGATAAAGAAGGCCTTGGGAAGTAAAATTGTTCCTGGTAATAAGTATCCCACTGAGAAAAGAACAGGAGAAACAGAGAAAGTTAAAATGTATGTTACACACACACACACACACACACACACAATATTTTACCACAATTAAACAAAACAGTGAGGTACTGACATGAAGACAGATACATAGACAAACAGAATAGAAAAACCCATAAATAAACACTCACATATACAGTCAAGTGATCTTCAACAAGACTTTCACAACCATTTCAAAGGAGAAGGACAGCCTTTTTTAATAAATGGTGCAGGAAAAAATAGAGAACTACATGCAGAAGAATGAAGTTGAATCCTTACCTTATACAATGTACAAATATTAAGTAAAAAATTGATCAGAGACCTAAATGTAAGAACTAAAACTTTAAAATTCTAATAGAAAAAGAGAAAGAAAAGCTTCACAACTTTGGATTTGGGAATGACTTTCAGGATATAAAACCAAAAGCACAGCGAACAAAAGGAAAAAAATAAGCCTGGTTTGGTGACACACTCGGTAATCCCAGTGATTTGGGAGACTGAGTCAGGAGGCTCACAAGTTCCAATTTAGCAACACCCTATCTCAAAATAAAATAAATTTTAAAAAGAGCTGTGGTTATAGCTTAGTAGTAAAATGCTTGCCTATTGAATGTACGAGGCCCTGGGTTCAATCCCCAGTAGTGTCCAAAAAAAAAATAAATAAATAAAAGAAGAAGAAGAAAAGAAAAAAAATAGATAAAGTGAACATCAACAAAATTAAAAATTTATGTGCATCAAAGGACACTACCAGAGCTGGGGACATAGCTCAGTTGGTTGAGTGCTTGCCTCGCATGCGTAACACCTGGGTTCAATCCCCAGCACTGCCAAAAATTAAAAAAAAAAAAAGACACTACCAACAGAGTGGAAAGTTCCCTGGAATGAAAGAAAATATTTGGAACTCATATACCTAATAAAAGATTAATATCCAGATTGTACAAATTCTTAAAAAATAACACAAATATGACGATATACATAGTATTCTGCATCTCCCTTTCTCCACTTCAGAGAAATTCAAAACAACTTAAGTTTTGTTTTCCTTTAATAATTTTATTTATTTATTTATTTATTTTAGAGAGAGAGAGTTTTTTTTTTTTATATTTATTTTTTAGTCTTCGGCGGATACAACATCTTTGTATGTGGTGCTGAGGATGGAACCCGGGCCGCACGCATACCAGGCGATCGCATTACCGCTTGAGCCACATCCCCCAGCCCATATTTTATTTATTTGTATGTGGTGCTGAGGATCGAATCCAGTGCCTCACACCTGCTAGGAGAGCACTCTAACACTGAGCCACACCCCAGCCCTACTTCAGCCTCCCAAGTCATTGGGGTTACAGGAGTGCACCACACTTAGGTTTTTACGAAATATTTACTGGTTCCTACTATATTCCAAGCACGAAAGAAAAAGAAGTGAAAGAAATGACTAAATCAAACATAATATCTGCCCTCAGAGAGCTTATAGTTTAGACATTAAAACACATAAGCACATGTGCATATACACACATACACATGTGTGCAATCACAGGTACAGAGACTGATTAGTCCTTCAAAATTGGAGCATTATTAAACCATTTAATAAAAGAACGAAACTAAGAAAGGGGGAGGTGGTAAAGGAAAGCTTCAATATGGTAATCATCCTGATCGGTTTTACAATATTTAAATATCATATTGTACCCCATAATTATACAATTAAATATACAAAAATTATCTGTCACCTTAAAAAAAAAATCCCGATGAAGAAATGACCTTTAGGCTGAGCCCTGAAGTTGGACCACAAGGAGTTAGCCAGGCAAAAAGAAGTGGGAAAGCATTCTAGGCACAGGAAAATAGCACACATACCAGCCTCAAGGCAAGAAAGTGTCTGATGTGTATTAGGTACACAAAGAACTCCAGTGTTGCTGAAGCACATCGAGAAAGGGCAAAGGCAGGAGATGAGGCTGGGATGTTGGGGCAGACTGGGTAGAGCTTTGTAGGTCATGCTAAGGATTTTGAATTTAATCCTAGGTACAATGGATGGCCATTGATCCAATTAATGTTTTAAAGGAGCGCAGAAAATGAACTGGTAGGTGCTAATAATGGAGGTGGCATTAGTGTTGAGATACTGCTGGCTTGCTTGGCCCAGGATGGCAGCACTGGAGATAAAGAAAAGTGAATAGATTTGAGATGTATTTCAGAGGTAGAATCAACAGTGTGCTAATGAGGAGAGGGAGAAGAGGAAAAAGGTCAAGAATAATTTCTAGGTTGGGTATGGTGGCTCACATCTATAATCCCAGCACCTCTGGAGGCTGAGGCAGGAGGATTTCAAGTTCAAAGCCAGCCTCAGCAACTTAGCGAGGCCCTAAGCAACTCAGTGAGACCCTGTCTCTAAATAAAATATAAAAAACAATCTGGGGATGTCGCACAGTGGTTAAGAGCGCCCCTTGGTTCAATCCCCAGCACAAAAAAAAAAAAGAATGATTTCCAGGTCTCTGGCAACTGAATCAACATAAATAATGTTTACTGAGATGGGGGATTTATTTTTTTTTCTTTCTTTCTTTTTTTTTTTTTTTTCAGTGCTAGGGATCGAACCCAGGGCCTTGTGCCTTGCTCATGCTAGGCAAGCACTCTACCACTGAGCTACAACTCCATCCCTGGGATGCGGAATTCTGAAGGAGAAACAAATCCAGTGGGAAGATCAAGAGTTCAGTGTAAGCCATGTTAAATAAAACATTCATTTGGTAGTACAGTAGAAACAAACATCAAGAGTTCAGAAAAGAGGTTGAAACTAGACACATACATGTAGGAAAAGTTTGCCCATACGTGGTATTAAAGCTATGACTGTAAAAGATATCTAATATTAGTGTTTTGGTGAATTTCCATCATTTTTTCCCACTTATAGCTATACCTGTCTGAGAGATTGCCTCAAAGTGGGAATTCAGAAACAGTGGATTACAGCAAAACAGAAACTTAGAATGGTCCTTGATCATGGGTTTCCACACCCCTTGGACAATCATCTACAGTATATTATAGCAATAACACAATATATGAAAGCCAGAGCCAATCAGCAGACAGAATTATAGTTAGTCAATTGTTCTCCAAAGAAAGGTATTTACACTGTGGTTAGATAAGTAAACAGGCTGAGGTTCCCCTCCCTTTAAAGTCCTAACAGAAACATGGATTTTTAAAAGATTAAAATAGTTTTTATCTTCAGCTCTATTTTTTTAGCACTGAGGCATATGAAGATCAGGTGTATGCACCAATGGCTGTAATGAACCCTGTTTTGAAATTCAGAGGCAACTATTACAGCCCCTTATTTTATTTTATTTTTTTGGTACCAGGAATTGAATTCAGGGGCACTTGACCACTGAGCCACATCCCCAGTCCTTTTTTATTTATTTATTTTTTTTTAGCTGTAGATGGACACAATATCTTTATTTTTATGTGGTGCTGAGGATCAAACCCAGTGCCTCATGCATGCGAGGCAAGCACTCCACCACTAAGGTATAATCCCAGCCCACCCCAGCCCTTTTTTAATATTTTATTTAGAGACAGGGTCTCACTGAGTTGCCTGGCACCTCGCCGTTGCTGGGGCTGGCTTTGAACTCGAGATTCTCCTGCCTCAACTTCCCAAACAGCTGGGGTACAGGCATGTACCAGCTGTAGCCCCTTACTTTTAATGAGATACTTGATAAATAGTGGGCACACAGGGAGAAAAGCTCTACACCACTACTCCTTCCTAGTTTGGTCCTTGGTATTTACCTTTTGTACTCTGAGTGTTAAGATACTCTGAATCTCAGCAATTTTTGTTTGTTTTGTTTTAGATGGGATCCCACTATATTACTTAGCCTAGTCTCCAACTCCTGGGCTCAAGTGATCCTCCTGTCCAGCCTGAAGCTGGGACTACAAGTGCATGTCACCATGCATGCCCAACTACCGAGGCTTAGTACTTCTGAATTCGGTGTTCCACCAGGATTCAGCCCTCAGATTTTCCTCAAAGGCGCTTAGAACAACTGGCATTATTCTGACATAAACTGTGAAGGGCATCTATTTTTTTGGGGGGGTGTCATTTTGAAGATCCAATTTGAGGGAAAATTTTTTTTCAATGAAATCTCTATAATTAAAACCTCATCCCTATTTCCTTTCTAGATTTTCTTCTGGTTCAGTCTCTTTTTTCTCACATATGGAATTTAATCTTGCAACTTCTCATTAATGCACAGCTGTGAGGCAGGCAGCTGATGGAGGATACTAAAATCATCTGGGGAATAATAATAGTGTCTCAAATTTTTCTTAGGTCAGAAAACAGAGTTCCTGAGCCATGACTTGCTTGTATGTCCTCAAATAGAGCAAAGGGAACACAGAGCCAAAAAAGGGAAAATGGAAACTCCCAAGGTTTAGGCAATGTATTTTCTTCAGAACAAATTCACCACTAAAATGTTACAGAGAAGTAAAAATAGAGGAAGTTAACCAGGGAGATCTGACGATATTTTTCTCCCCAGTACTGGGGACAAAACCCAGGGGCATAGGCATGTTACATAAGCACTCTACTAC